AAAAAAAAAAACATATGAATGTGTCAAAATTTTCTCTCTGCAATAAAAACCTCCACCGATTTCCAATAGACAAAATAAAAAAACCCTTGGGATCCTAAAAATGGTTCTCCATCCTAAAAAAAACAAACAAGAAAATGGAGTGGTAATTCTTCTCAACAAGTTGAAAATTTACAGACTCAACATCACCGGAAGTGAAATCATAACTACATAATGTGCCCCAATAAAATTTACAACCCCCATAAAGACGGAGAGGCTCACGTGGCTCACCCTGAGCATGGGATCAAAAAAGAGCATGAGAATTTGACAGAAAAATCCTTCGGAATCCCCATAGCGCAATAATTGCGACAGTTTTGACGTTGAAGCACTTCTTAGTGATGAACAAAGGTTTGTCGTAACGTTTTGTCAGGTTCACTTGGAAAGTCCATTCTTGAAGTATTTACGGGCCTCCCACCCCCCGTGTCCTGGTGCGTAAAATCATGATGTATGTATGATGGGATGTTATAAATTTTATGACGAGTCACTTATAGTCTTCAGTCAAGTCGTTGTTTAGGTCAGTTTTTCGGGTGCTGTAAATCTTTTGGGAAAACGGTAGCGGAAGGTCAGGAGTTACGGCAGAAAAAAGAGGTTTTCAGGCTTGGGTGAGCCTGCGGGAGGTCCTGGGAGGAATCCCAGAGTTCTACAGCCTCCGGATTCAAGAGTAAGCCCACTATTGTGGGCCTGTGCAGGGGCATAACTGTGGGGGTGAAACCTAAACTCATCATTTTAGAATTTACTACTGTTTTTCAATAATTTCTGGGAAATACTGTACATTGCTTCAGTCACATCAAAATTATTTCAAGTGTTCAAAACTCGTTTTTGGTTTGTCATTAGGGTCACTAATTATCCGGGTGAAAAGAAATTGTTATCGGAATATTTTTTCCAAATTTTTCAAAAATTTGAATAGGAAAATTTTTTTAATAATTTAGATGGCCTATTTTTTGAGAATATTGAAAAATCAAAAAAGTAAGAAAACAACAGTATAATTAAAAAAAAATTATATTCGCCAAAATTTCTCTAAAATTATAAAAAAATTTTCCGAAACAAATTTTTGAAAAACTTTTCAAAACATTTCCCAAAAATACAATTTTTTTGTTTCCCGATTTTTTTCTGTTTCAAAAGAAAAATTTTGAGAAAAGTTTTCGAAAAATGATTTGAAAATTTGGAAAAATATTCCGATTAGTTTTCAGTTATAGGTATTGTATGGGTTTTTCAGCTGCCGCAATTTTGGTTGACGTGTACCAGAGTACAATCAGTTGTTAAAAATCATTGTACATTGACGCATCGAACACCTGAAAAATATTGAAAGGTAAGAAAAATGGAAGAGTCAAGGCTGATGCAAAGTGCGACACGGTGGACATCCGAGGGTCTAATCAATTTCTCACCGTTATAGGCTCGCCTACCTGGCAACACTGGTGGCCAGGCTCCGGGTGCTTCTGAAATATTTCTAACCTTTTTTGACCATGCACTTTCACTCGCACCGTGCCAATTGCATTCCGCTAAATTTTTAAAAGACCGGAGAACACGCTCAGTCACGCGTTTACGCGTATCCGACACAATTGAGTGAAATATTTGAGGTTTTCGGAAAATTTCAATGTTTTAGGGTGCATTCAAATTTTTCAAGCCAGTCATCACTCTAATCATTACAATAATCATAACATTAATTGTTGTTATGATCAGAGAAATCGCGATTTGGGAATCCCAAGATTTTTTTTATTTTTCGAGTCCAGTTCTCAGCTGATATCTCCGAATTGAAGAGACGTAGCAAATTTTTCATCTGAATATTTTCTGTAGGAATTGATGAGAGCTACGAGAAAGGTATTCATGAAAAAATCGTTATCTCCCTTCAATTTCGAGATATTGACTAAAAATATTGGATGTAATCAATTTAATTTAAAGGAATCGTAGGAAAATTTAATAATTTTAAAATCGGTTATATATTAGAATCAAGATGGAATGTAATTGATATTCAAGTTTATTTCTTTTTCATTGTGATGAAGAGCTATTTAAAAAAGGAATTGAAAATTTCTATCGATCAGGTCAAAATAGGCAAAAAACTGGAATAGAATGAAAAAGAACATATGTACAAACGGAGGAGTCAGTGTGGGGTCGGCATTTGGGCCAGTGCCGCTCAGGCATTTGACATGAACTGATGCCCAAATATATTTCATTAAGATTTATAGGGACTTTGACTAATTGCCCCCTTTTAATAGAATTTTTTTCGTCCAACTGTTCTAGGACCCCACAAATCCTCATATGTGGCTCTCTGAAAATTTCTTTCAGAGCAAAAAAAAAAAAATACGAGGTGATGGGAGAAAATGTGGAAAGAATTTCTCAGATTCTTTGAATGCCAGTGGCGAGCGGTGATTTAGGGCCTGTAATTGTCTTGGAAATTAGGGTAAAATTAGTCAAAAGACTAATGGCCGTTGTTTTCAATTGCTCCTTTCAATGTGATCTATTATTTTCTTTCGACTTTCAAGATGGAAGACGTTTTTTGAGCCGGAAAAAATGTTTACAGAACTTGTTAAAAAAAAAAGACTAATGGAAAAATTCGGTTGATGTTACCTGATGAATCGAGGTGAACCCTTTTTTCGATTCACATGTATAATATTAAATACATATTTATTCTAGTTGAAAAAAAAACTTTTGATGGTCTAAAGTATAATTTGTTAGGCATCCGTATAAAATAAGAAAAAAAAA